TGACATTTCTTCTAAATAAAATACTAAAATAAAAACACTAACATCTGGTAATTCTCAGCACATTTTTATTGTTCAAGTGTTTTTTTTTTTAATTTTTACTTAGAACAATTATGAACCAACACTTATTGATGATTTCGTATATCAATAAAAAAAAAAAAAAAAGGCTAAATATAATCTAAAACGAGCGTTTTTATAAGGAGTGTTCAGAGAACGGGTTTCAATTATTCTCATTGTTTGTAACAACTGACCTATGCTTTTAAAGAAAAAGTTAAAGAAAAATTTTCTTTTAAAATATATCGTTTAAAAATGGTACAAATTTAAAATTCTTTTTTTCCAACATTAAGATGGAATGATACTGCAAAAAAAAGTATCACTCTCAACGTTTGAATTTGAAATGTGCTACTGCATAGTATCCACAATTAAATATTAAAACTGTCTCAAATTAAAAAATATTTAATGTGTTAAAAGTCGAAATATACATTTATGAAGTCGCTGTATTTGAAAGTGATAATAATTTTTGATTTATTTTAATTTTAAAAAGAGGGTTAATAGAAAATTTTTAATAAAATTATTTTTACCTTATGTTTTTTCTTTTGCCATACATTACATTATATACATCATAAATGGTTATGGTATTTAACTTTCAAAAATGGAATTTATGGTGTTGTATTAATAAATTATTTTAAGTATGAGTAAAACAGACTGAGATTATTTAAAAATGTTCAATATTTAGGGTTCCATTTATTTTTTAAGCACAACTAGAAAATTATTCATTTTCTTACGGTTTTATTTGTATCAAAAATATAAATAAGCTTAGAATAAGTATTAATTTTATGTGAGAAATGAATATCATTTTTTTTATTAGTGATTTATTTTTAATTTACTCATACAAACTTAACAGATATTCTTTTTAATGATAGTGTAAATATTTTTCTTAATGTAGATAAAATTTGAAAAAATAACTTTGAAGTAGCAATACCTATTGCTTTAGGTTTTAATGAAAATGTCAACTTTTGTACAAGTTTTGTACAGAAGTGTTTATGTTTAACTTTATATCGACTACAATGCATCGCGATGGCTAACAGTAGTATATTATTAAAACTAATAGCATTTTCTAATTTTTTATTTGTTAACACTTTCATAATATTATACTGACATACGTAATATTACTGTGCATGTACGTAATTTTGAATAATTCATAACGACATGTTAAATAATTAATTGTTGATAACCTGGTAAATTGTTTATATATCACATTATAAACAGTAATAATCATATTATTTTTGTTTTTTTATAGTACTTTTATTTTTATAACAATCTTATAAATTTTATTATTAATTATTACTTCTTATAAATTAAGATACCGAATTCTAAAATAACAAAATTTGACGTTTTGCTCTTTGTGTAATGTGGTAGAAGCTTAATGGACTTTAGACCCCTATGACTTTTTTTTGTTTTAATTAACGTGTAAAATTTGTTTTACATTTAATACTTGTTAAATGTACAATTGAACCTGAGTAGATTTTTAAATAATTATTATTATAATATCACAATAATTACTGGGATAATGAAAGAAAATAAAGTAAGGTAGAAATCTTAAAGCTCTAAAAAATAACTAAATACGCACTAAAAACTTTTTACATTTGTTGTGTTATGAAACAAATAGTGTTTAAGTGTTCCATTTTTAAGTATATGTAAAAAAAAGTAAGTTCTGAAAGTTTTTTGACCTCTATAAACTCGAATTTCTATTTAGGCTATAGAAAAACTGACAGGTATAAGCACCTGGCTTTTATAATTTTCAAGTATATACATATTTTTCATTGTTTTAAATTTAACTATTAACTTACTTTCAAAAGTTTATTAAAATAATAATCAACACTATATTATATTAAAAAGGGCATTTAAAAAAGTTGTTTTTCAGATTATTATTTATTTATAATATGTTTGGTATTATGCATTGAATTTACTTCACTCGGTCACCAGGCTTCTTTACCAATGGTTTAGTTTCTTGGTAACACTCGAATTACTGGCCAACCTGTTGGTGTGTAGTGAGGTAATAGAATCAGTACTAGTGTTGGAAGGGTTCGACAGCGCAAAACCAATGATCTATGTAGTAATTAAGTTTGTATATATGTGCCTTAAAACTAAATAAATAATTCAAAATGTAATAAATAAGTAGTATTTTCAATAAAAAAAAAAATAATAATCTATAGTAAAATACAAGTTAGGCTTTTTTTTTGGCTCTATAAATTAATAAAATTGTTTTTAGCTCTTCTGGCTCAACAGTAACAACTTCTTTAATAATATAACTCAAAATATCAAAAAATAGTAGTGGTTAGTGTGACTCTACTCTGCTGAGTAACCATCGCGCGAACAAGAAGGAGAAACTCAGTATTATAGGCGATGTTATGCCTACGATGGTGTTATTCGGTCACAACAATGTTAGTGTTATTAGTAAATAAATAGTGTAACAATTATAATAATGATCAGTTTTACATCCTTCTACTTCCCGAACTTAACATGCTTCAGAGGGTGGTAGCCCTATTTCATATATTAGGGAGTCGAAGATGGTTTTTTGCTAGGCCAATAATGGAAGGGGCGGGTATTATGGCCGGTTTGCAACAGAGACCAGACGCGACCAATGAGAAAATCACAAATCTCGTTGACATCCTGGGAATCAAATCCAGGACCTCGTATGCCAAAACATACGTTTCTACCCTCTAGGCTAGGCTGGCCCCTTAAATAAGTAGTGTAAAAATAAATGACAATATAATGCAAAAAAGAGCTCTTAATTTTTGTTATTGCAAATCAATATTTTATATAAATGTTGGATAATTTTACTAGTACATAAATAAAATTGTTTGAGCAAAAAATAATATTTATGAATGGCTTAATATCTCTATTATTAAAATTCAGTCTTATAAATGTAACTTTATTTTTTTTTTTACATTTGAACACTTTTTTTAATCTAGTCTACTGTGTACTGTACTTAAGAATGATGTAATAGTCACTTTTTTAATTCAATATGCTTATATGAACAGATGAAACAATTTTGATTTTTATATTATAAAACGAGTTACTTAAAACAATAGAAAGTATCGCGAGACAAAATTTTCATCCACTTATTGTTTTTCGAAAATTAAATTGCAAAAATCGACACGTTTTTGTTAGTTGTTCGGTCGGAGGGCTTGGACTAGTTGTATTTAATAAAAGATGTCGTAAAACACACCAAAGGATCAAATGAGATAGGTACAGCTCTAGGCCAGAACGACGTGTAGATTTTTATGGACTACGACTGAATCTTTGTCGAACTCAGGTCGACCTGAATGTTTCTTTGCATAAAAACAACCACTTCCTTCGAACGTTTGATGCCAACGTCAAATGCTTAAGAAATTGTGGGGCTTCAGTTCCAAAAGTTCTTCGGAAATCACGTTGAACAGTAATTTCTAATTTGCACTGACTAAAACAGAGGACATTAAACGTTTTCTGTAGCAGAGACAACATTTTGAAACAAACTGACGGCAGTTCACTAATAATTACAAAATTTATCAACAACAATAAATAAACTAAAATATACTTGATTCTCTTATTTTCTAATTAATATATAGGTCGATAAACTGCGAATAACGACTGCTGAGCTATATCAATTCATAATCGGGCGAAGAATTTTTAAACAAATAATTTTTGTTATATTTTATCATATTACAATAGTTGATATAATGATTCAAAAAAGTATCATATTCAAGTAGCAATATAATATTGTTTACAGTAAGTATATGATGAATATTTATCATAAATATTCTAGCGTTTGTTTTATTTCAAACAATTTTTTTTAAAGTCTATTTACGAATATTTTATTGGATAAAAAACGTAAATACTATTGTTTATAATAGATGAATTTATTCTGGTAATTAATGAAGATTTGTTCGAGAGGGATCATATAATATATTATATAAATTATTGTAAATAAATATTAAAAGCTAAAATTTATAATCAAAATACATTTTAAACAGTTGTATTACTATTTTTGTAAACATTCTACCTACAATAAATAAAATGAAATAGAAATATTTTGTAATATAAAATAATCTTCTCGAAAACCATAAAATCATTCATCCTGATTCTTTATTAGGACAGTGGCTTATTTAGGTATTTCAATAGCTCACATACAATATAGGAAGTAAAATTTTTACTGTCTAAAATAAACAAAGACCATTACATCATGAATTAACCATATTGAAATGTTTATATATAAACAACAATAATTTGCATTTTAGTTCATAACTTTTAAGAATATATATATTTTTTCTGGCATTTTTTTTATATTTTATATTTCAATTTGTTCAAATTAACGATTTAGACTTATTACAAATCATCTATGATGATACTACATAAGTTATTTCTTTACTTTATAAAATACACCAATATGACAAATAGTTATAGTTTGGTTTTTTTATGGTTATCAGCAGCTAGCTATTTAAGCAACCAATTTAACAGCGGGAGTTTATTTTTGTTTAATAATTCAATGCGGCGTCAAGAAATAATCGATTTCTGATAAGTGAACATAACTTAATATACATAACTTAGTCAGTGAACATGGTAAGCTCATCAAAAGTTTATGATTGTTTTCCGAACTATATTTTTTCATACTTGCCTAACATCTCCATACTATTTTATCACAAGTTATTACCATAATTCAATAATTTTCCACGTTTAGATGGAAATCATCAAAACACCGACGGATGACAATCCGCATGGTTAGACTAGTCGTAGCTTTAGTGCGGTCGGAGCACGAAATAGTAATAATTATATACAAACCGGTTGTTGGCGGTTGCCGGAAGAATACCTTTGCTGGTCGGCACGCATAGCCGTGAGTCGTCCGAGTTCCTCGAGCGTTGCGGCGGGAAGGTCGTGGATAACCTCTCTGGTGGGAGTCGTGGTTAGGTGAGAGAAGATTTCGGGGAGGGAAGCGGGTGAGGTGGTATCAACAAATAGCGACGTCAGCGGTTAGTCACAGTCGTTGTCTGCAGGTCGTCATCAAAGCCGTTGTAATCGAGTATCGGTTTTAGAAAACCAAACCGTAAAAAAGAAAACACCGGCCTTTACCGGGATTAAAGATATAAACATTACAAAACGGTGTGTCTGGATTTGTTACATATTTTTTTAATCTCGTCGAGATTCGACATGCTCGCGTTGGTTTAAGTGTACAGTGTGAAAAGTGTAGTGTCAATTACATTACCATTAAACTTTCAAAATACTTTTATATGATACAAATATGGAAACCGAATCAAACAATAAGGACACATCCATGTCACTTTTGAATGGCACACATCCTTCTCTGAGTGATGACACCTTCAAGCACGCCAGCAGTTCTTTGCTTAATGTCTTGCCTTCGTTAAGACATTTAAAAGTGGTGAGTTGAAAATCATTGGTTCATACTGTTTAATGACCCATTAATCATAGTCCAAATTAATAATATTTCTAAGTAGAGCAGTTTTAATGAAAGGACATTCTGTGCATGCCCTACTTAAAATGGAGCTCCTAATAAATATTAGTTGTACATCGTTTATCATAATTTGGAAAAAATAAAATTCTGGCTAATTAGCAAAAAATTAGGGAACAATTATAATACAAGTACATTTGATTATAGCAAATAAAGTTTTGAAGACATGAAAAGTTTTCTGTAAAGAGCTAAGAAACGTATGTGAACACTTCTATATAAGTTTTCATTTATTTTTATGTTTATATAAAAAGAAATGAACATAAATAATTATTATGTTATTAATACTAACAATAAAGTTTTACTAAATAAAATAAAATATTGTTTTTTAATATATATTTATGAATATTTAATTTTGTACATATACAATATTACAGCCGAATCTTAGAAAGTACAGCGTATGGTTACACCCTATGAAAATTATTTAAACAAATAAAGTCAGTATTTTGAATATAAGTTAAAATCCTTTTTTTTGCTTATTAAATTTATGTGACAAGCAATAAATCAGCAAATATGTGTATGACGCTTCCCCCTCCTCGAAAAATTTTTCTGGCCTATTCAACATTTAACACTAATAGCTTCTAACTTTATTTAGGGGAAGCCTATTTTTTTTTTTGTTCTTGGCCCTCGAATTATTAGATCAGCGTCTGGTTTTCAGGATATTTCAGAGACATAAGAAAATGACTTGTTGGTCCAATATCATTGTTTTTATACCATCGGGAAGTTTATAGCTTTGCTAATTTTTGGACTAAAAAATGAAAAGTGTTATTTTGAGTAATTATTGAAGTCCATTCTTATCTTTATATTTTTTATGATTATCACTTTTTAAAGTATTTTAGCTAACCAATTAGCTAAAAAGTATTAACTGTTGAAAATTTAAAAAATTTGATTGGACTCTTTTTTTAAATAAATTTAGATTAATTATTTAGAAATTAAAACGATATATATAAGTTTTAATTTTATCAAATGCATGTGAATACTAAAAATTAGTATTAGTTAAAATCTGAAATATGTTAAAATTGAATTTATTACCGCATTAATATCAAACTACATTTTAAAAATTCCTAACTGTAAAATTATTAACAGTTTTCTAATTGTACTCGTTTTATACATTTTTGTTAAACGCCATATTTTGCCATGAAACTCATATCTATATCAGCAACTCGATCAAATGTACCTACGGGAGTAATGACCCACAATGACATGTTTGTTTACCCGTGTACCGATAATATGATCAGCTGAACGAAAACATTCAATTCGTTATTGAACAGGTAGATGTTAAACAAATGTAAATATTAAACATATTAATGCAAATATTTACTGACTTTTTCGGCGATTAGTTTACGACTGAGATGGCAAATAATTTTTGTAATGAGTTTGGTTATAACTTAGAATTATTTTATGATGAGTCTAAACAAATTATTTGTTTATCATAAATAGTATTATTGTTTTTGAAGTGACACTCGACTAGATTTCTTATCTTCTGATAAGAAATCTAGTTCATTATCACCTCATTTGGGAGTTATCACATTGAACATATTAATTGTACATCCGAAAGGTTAATTTCTCTTATCGGTCAATATATTAAGTCAAATTATATTGAAAATATATTCTCGCATAACTGTACTTTCATTCTGTATCTTTTTAAAGATATCTTATTTTAATTGTATACAAGATACTTTTTTTTATTGAGTTATATTTTAATATTAGAAAATAAATGCTCTCAAGTATTATTAGAGTAACTTCTTACGATTCTGAGATTTGAAATAAACTTTTATTACTAGTTATAACCAATAAGAAAAGTTTTTAAGGATTACGAGGGAATCACTAACCAAGAATGAATTGTGATATCATTTCAATCATTTGAATTGTAAATCGTTAGTCTCTTTGCATTATTTGTTGTATGTTGTGCAATCATTACATAATATGAAGATTATTTGCGTGTGTTTCAATATCGAATATTACAAACAATTTACTTCATTAATGACTCATGGGTTAATTATCAGTTGCGCTTTCAGGTATTTTTTCAGGTATTCGAAAAGTTGAAATTTTCTATTTTTTTCCAAAGGTTTTATGTAACAACGATATATAACTGAAGGTTTCACACATGTGAACTTCGTTCTTTATTTACTTTTTTAACAATTGATTTTTAATTTGAATTGTTATGATTAAACTAAGAATGAAATAATTACAATATTTTACCATTCAAATGTGTATTTTTTTTTACGAGAACACTTGTGTCATATTTTTCTTTGGACATCTTGCGTTGGAATTCATCACATGGAAGTAACCGTAATTTGTAGGTAAAAAACTTTTCTACAAACTGAATAAACGCTTCAAATTCTATTGTATTAAAACAAAAGTATAATATATGACATTAGTTGTACCGTAATGCACAATCACGTAAAAACGAAACAAACAAATAGGATGTCTGGTTGTACTGAGAAATATATTATAGTATAGAGTGTATGTTTCTGTGCCACGTTTTATTTTGCCCACAGTTTCTTTAACGAGTAGACGGTAATTCTTTGAGATCTGAGTAGGCTTCACAAAACAAGAAAAATGGCTTTGGCCAATAAAAAAATGTTAGCATATTTTAATATATCGACTAAAATAACTTAATTATAACAATTAGACGAGTCGCCAGATTAGGCTTTTCGCATATGCTAGCTGTTCATATTTTCTTAACAATATTTAGACAGCAGATATGAATACAATAGCTGTTAAATAATTATCATCGAGTTTTTTTTTTATTGATGAGCTATTATTATGAGTTGCAGATTGTATTACAGTGTTGTATAAATAAATTGGAGTTGCTGTCTATGGTAATGAATTAATTTGTTGATAATCACACATTTGACATGGTCAATGACTTTGATAACACATGACTGTAAATCGTTATTTAAAAAAAATTAACAAACTACTTTTATTTTATTAGGTTTTCGAAAGAATTTCTAACATGGTATCTTAAAAAAAACACACGATACTAAAATAATACACTATTTAGAAACTTGTGATTAAGTTTGATGTATTTGGGTCAAACATATCAGGCGATTATAGTTTATTAGGAGTAAGATAATTAATTTGTGGGAAAGTCAACATTTCTGAACTTATTGTATTTAGCTTTAATACGTAGCTGAAAAGCTTTTGTTTTTACTTTGCCATGTTATTTTTTTTTGTGCCGGTACGCCTATACTTTTACTCAACGAAAAGATAAAAGATTACAAAACATCATTTTAAAGTTATCAGCGCTATAATTTTCAAAAATTTCCTCAGTCCCGATAAGAAAGAGAAATGTACCAACAAATTACAGTTCTCCCATAACAGTTGATGTTGATATTTCAATTTTCAAAATATTCAATTTTCAGCTAAATATAAATATTTTGAATTCAAAATATTAATTTTCAAATTGTTCAAGTTGTTTCACAACTTGAACAATTTGAATCACACCCAATTTAAAAGTGACACAGCTAAAAAAATTCAATTTTTAAATAAAGCCTTTTAAAAAATTAAATTGTTAAATAATTTACAATCCTATTGATTGATAAATTAGTTTGGTTTTTGTCAATTCACATTTTATTCGGATATTCTTTTCTAATATTTTTCGACTTTTCAAACTGAGATAAGAATATTTTGATTGTAATTTATAATTAAAATGCAGTTTGATGAAAAATTATTTTTAAAAATAGGTAAATACTTCCGATGTTTATAAATTACACAATTATTATATTTATTGATAAATTAAAAATTAAAGGTTTTTCAATTATGTTAAATTGTTAACAAAATGGTTAAATTTATTTTCAAGCTTATACAAATTATACATTATGTTTTATATAATATGATAATTATAAAAAAAAATTTGTAATGTTAATCAGTACTAATGATTGTGAATTAATTGTAGTGTCAAGTGTAGGTTATTAGCTTTATGAAAATGTTTAATTAATAAAAAAACATTAAATTACAATTTCAATACAGAAATATAACATTTGATTAGAAGAGATAGTATCAGTTTATATGAATTAATATTAATTTTATTAATTAACTTTTAAAATTTATGTTTTTTTAAATTTCATTTGCACTGAAAGCGTCTAAGTTTCATTTTACGTTGTGCGTATTTTTGATTTTGACGACGAGTTAAGTTAGTAACGTGCTATCTTAGAGTACTATTATTTCGTCGTAAATTGTTTTTTTAATTTACCGATGAATAATAGACAAGATTATTTTAATTACATTTTCTATTCATTGGAAATATTTAGAAGAATATCGCAAGTCTGGGAACATTTTAAATGAATATTTCACAGCGATTCTTGTGTAAAGAAAACCGGTTAATGCAAGTATGTGATATGCTTCGGTCATCTTTTTTTTAGAACCTCTAGAGTGATTTTTGTGTACTAACATGATAATTTACGTTTTTTATTTTATGTATTTAAGAACTAGTTTTTTTATTTTAATGGCGGTATTGCATTGAACTTGAACTATTCGATAGTTAAAAACTATTTATGATAAAATTATATGTAAGATAATGATTCATTTTATTATTATGTTTGTAAACATCTTATGCACCAAACATATTCTTGTGCCAATAATTTATATTCATAAATTATATTGAAGTTATTTTAAAAATAAAAAATATTCGTGATAGTGAATTTATTATAATGTAAAAAACTTCTTTTGGCTTATTAGTTTGAAATAGTCAATGGAAAATTTTTCAACATTAATGCTAATTGTTAAATTAATTAATTCATTATTGCAAATACGAGGAAAAAATATGATGGCTATGAAAGATCTTAATTGAAAAAATAAGGTTTATGTATAAAATAATTGTTTTTTATATCTATCGACTGTAAATTAATTACTTTATAAATAGTTTTTATTTTATGATTATTAAATATTGCAATTAATGATTTAGAAAA